CATGAAAAATAACATTTTTTATCATCATATCTATGCGCTTAAAGCAATGCTTGCTGCATTTTTAAATATGGCGTTAAAGTTTTTAGCGGCTATGTAAGAGTAAATTCGATTGGCCAAATAAACTTTGGAGTCCAGAGTCCAAAATTTGGATAGATTTGGAATTTTAGGTTGTTTTCTATTGTTTCCAGTGAGCTTGCACAATCCTTAAAATGAACTAAGAATGCATAAATATTGTCGAAATGTATTGCACGTTCATTAAAAACATCAGCATCTTTTAAACAATAAAATGTAAGTTGTGTAAACTTAGTAACATATCATCATTTAACACCAATATCTATTTCTAATATATTTTTGCTAACAATTTATAAACATAATTTACCAATGGTTATTAGCATTTATATTAGACAATAAAAATAATAATAACAATATAATTGTTGGTTCCCAATTTAATAGCAGCATAACAGGTAGTTCTTTTGATTTACACAATGATGTTAATTGTACTACGCGTAATGTAATTTACCTCATTACATGTAAAGGCTGTAAAAAGCAATACGTAGGTCAGACTAATCAAAATGTATCATGCAGAATGAATAAACATAGATTTGATATAAGAAATTGTGACGTTAATCCAATTTCACATGTTGCGATCCATTTCGGATCAAACGATAATAAGTGTTCATTGTCAGATTTTTCATTTTTACCTATAGAAATTATAGACAACAACATGGACCGGTTATGTAAAGAATCTTTTTGGATCCATAAATTAAATACTATGATTCCAAATGGACTAAATAATAAAGTATTGTTTGATTTATAATAGGTTACATGAATATTAATATGTTTGTCTATTATCTTCTTCTTATTTTTATCAACACTGTCTAATAGACATCTGTATCACTGTTGATCCATTTTAATTCATGTACCAGCTTTATTTATAGCATAAATATTTGTTTCTACATGTTATCATAGTTTTGCCGCTAAACGCCATAACGTTTTTCGCGCGTTTAACGCGTGTTCCGTTATGACGTCGCTTCCGGTAATTTTATTATGTTTTGCACTGATGAAGGCATATAGCCGAAACGTTTGCAATTAAATTAAATTACTAAATGTTCGTGTTTGTGTGGCTTGTCTGATTATTTTATTCGTTTATACCACACAATGGCATCTCAAGAAGATCCACGACAAATTTTGAAGAAATTAGCGGTAAAACAGATGAAGAGCGCATTACATGCGCGTTTCTTACAAGACTGCATTAATGATGACATCGTACCGAAGGGTCTTCGTCTATCTTTGAAGGTGAGCGTCGGACCAGATGGTAAAGAATTACAGGATGACATAAACAAGCTACTTCATAAAGTAAGTGTTGAAATTTGTGAACGTATTAAAGAGGACCATCTCCGTCACAATGACAAAACAGATAATATGATTGAAAATACGCGACGTTTATTGCAAAATAAACTTACTACTTCCGATTTCTCCAATCTTGAAAATGAAATTACAAGTTACACAGAAGACAAAAAGAATGACATTGTTATTAAACATGAAAAGAAACTGACATATTTGAGAGAAGAAATGAGTAAATCTAGATCTACTTTGAATAAAAACGGAAATCATTCCCCTGTCACCACTGATTCCATATCAACGTCGCCGAAAATTGTAAATTATAATAGTGAACAAGACTGGCAAACGGTAAAAAAGAAACAAAGATCATCTAAATCGACAAAGAAATTTACGGTTAACAAAAATGTTAATAATATTTCAACCAAAGCTGCAACAACTACAAAAACAGGTATAATCCAACCAACCTTAGAAAATCAGAAATCAAAAAACGTGAAAACCCCGGGCACCAAGAAAACATACAGGGAGGCCGTGATCAACGGGGAACCAAAGAATCTGAAAACAAATCAACTGCTACAAAAAATGGATATAGTGTTACAAGAAATAAAGGAAATCGCAATGATAACAACAAAGCAAAATCACGAAGGTTCAAAAAATTCCAGACACGAAATCAATATAAAAAATATAAAAAGCGGAAAAGTCAGATACAACAAGGTAAAAAAACAGTGTTGAACTTATCATCACGCCCAATGTCAGAAACTGAACTGATAGTGCTTGGAAAAGGGTTAGGATTTTGTCCACGATATAATTCGCATGATAAGGTTCGATTAGCGGAAGAAGTTTTTCATTTTTCAAGACGTTTAAGACTAAAAGAGTTCTTCAATGATTTGTATAAAAATGATAACAACGAAAGCGATGATAATAACCAAAAAGAAGAATATCAAAATTTGCCGTTCTATAATAAAACATCATCTACCTTTACCCCACCTAGCGGGAGAGACGTTTATTTGGATTTTTATATTGAGGCTATAAGTAATGAAATTATGCACTCTTCTAAACAAAAACGGTTTCGTCCTAATATATCCAAGCAAACGGTTTCGTCCTAATATATCCAAGCAAGAACTCCAGTCGCTTAAAGACCTATCTCGTGATACAAATATTGTTATCAAAAAGGCAGACAAATCCAATACCATCGTTATAATGGACAGACAGAAGTACATCGACGAAGTGAATCGACAACTGAACGATGAGCGATATTACAAAAAAGTAGAAAAGGAACAACATAATTTGACTAAGTTAAAAATAGAAGAATGTGTAAATGAAATACAGGAAAATAATGTAAGCATTACTAAACAATTTGACATGTTCCCGTCTACTATTCGTACACCTCAATTTTACATTTTACCGAAAACGCATAAATCATATGATGAGAAACTTCCTCTTGGATACCCTGGTCGTCTCATTGTTTCAGCATGTAGCTCCAGTACTGAGAACATAGCGAAATACCTAGACTTTATTTTAAATCCTTATATGCAAACTTTGCCTTCCTATATCAAGGATACCACCGACTTTATAAATAAGGTTCGTAATCTTAAATTAAACAAAGACACCTATATAGTTACCCTTGATGTGTCATCATTATACACAAATATCCCTCATAATGAAGGTATTGAATCTTGTATATATTTTTTACAGAAAGATAAAGGAAACAATAACATCAAAGCTAATGATATAAGGAAATTGTTAAATATTGTTTTACATAATAATTGCTTTGACTTTAACGATCAGAGTTATTTACAAACCATGGGCACAGCAATGGGAAGCCCTATGGCACCTTCTTATGCTTCATTAGTCATGGGTAGACTAGAAGAGCAATTTCTTAACTCTACTTAATATGTAAAACCTGATGTCTGGTTACGTTTCCTAGATGATATTTTTATGATTTGGAATGATTCTTTGGAAACGCTAAACTTTTTTATAGATTCCTTAAATAGTTTCCACCCGAATATTAAATTCACTTACAATATTTCTAAAAGTTCGGTACCTTTTCTTGATGTTTCTGTATCTAAAGACGTAACAGGAAAAATTGTTACCGATATATTTTGCAAACCTACAAATATGCATTTGTATTTAGATTTTACATCCTCTCATCCTTTATCATGTAAGCGTGGTATCCCGTTTAGTCAAGCTAAACGTTGTAGACGTGTCATTTCCGATGACGGTACTTTTAAGCAGTCTTTAGATACGTTAAATAGATATTTTTCTGATAGAAATTATCCTAAATCTATTATTGAGAAAGCGTTTTCTAAAATTGAAGGCATGTCCCAAAATGATGCTCTAAGTCCTGTCGTTAAAAATACTAGTTCAATAATACCTTTTACTGTATGTTTTAATACATCTCTGCCTAATATTGGTGAAATCTTAAATAAATATTGGGATCTATTACTTTTGTCTGATAAGGTAAGCGTTAAAAATATACATACCAAGTTCAAACCTATTTTAGCATATAGACGTCCTAAAAACATTCGAGATTATCTTATGAGAAGTGCTTTACTTGATCGCACATTTTTATCTAGCAAATGTTTACGAAGTAGATGTTCACATTGTAACAATATAATTGTTGGTTCCCAATTTAATAGCAGCATAACAGGTAGTTCTTTTGATTTACACAATGATGTTAATTGTACTACGCGTAATGTAATTTACCTCATTACATGTAAAGGCTGTAAAAAGCAATACGTAGGTCAGACTAATCAAAATGTATCATGCAGAATGAATAAACATAGATTTGATATAAGAAATTGTGACGTTAATCCAATTTCACATGTTGCGATCCATTTCGGATCAAACGATAATAAGTGTTCATTGTCAGATTTTTCATTTTTACCTATAGACATTATAGACAACAACATGGACCGGTTATGTAAAGAATCTTTTTGGATCCATAAATTAAATACTATGATTCCAAATGGACTAAATAATAAAGTATTGTTTGATTTATAATAGGTTACATGAATATTAATATGTTTGTCTATTATCTTATTTTTATTAACACTGTCTAATAGACATCTGTATCACTGTTGATCCATTTTAATTCATGTACCAGCTTTATTTATAGCATAAATATTTGTTTCTACATGTTATCATAGTTTTGCCGCTAAACGCCATAACGTTTTTCGCGCGTTTAACGCGTGTTCCGTTATGACGTCGCTTCCGGTAATTTTATTATGTTTTGCACTGATGAAGGCATATAGCCGAAACGTTTGCAATTAAATTAAATTACTAAATGTTCGTGTTTGTGTGACTTGTCTGATTATATTAGACAATAGAAATAGTTTAACACTTGTCGGTACATAATATATAATTATCATCTATTAAGGTATAATATTAATTATCAGCTAGATAACAAATTACTCTTGAAATATTTGAATGTCTATTCCATGGCAGAACTGTAATGTTCGTCAGCAGCAATGGGATTTAGAATGATTTATAACACTTTCTTTAAAAATCATAATGAGATTCACAAACATATAATTATATTGTTTATTTTTAACTTGTCTAAACGATAGACTGTACACAGTTTTTCTTTTTTCAAAGTGCATAGTGTAAGGATAATTTTGTATATTTTAGTTAAGGTTAATACTAAATCGTTATTTATTTTGTACAGAGAAAATTATACAAAGTATGAAGTAGAGGAAGCTATACAATCAATTTTATATAAAAAACATATAGAATCAAATCCACTTTGATTTGGTAAAACACAACACACAACAAAGAGGTTAAATATCATGTCGAATTATAACTATTAATCATTGTTCTTTAGGTAATCACTTGCACCAAGTCATTAACTCCTTATTATCAATGATTACATTTTTTAATTATTGATTTATATTTAGATATAGGCTAGATAACTTCTTTAAATGCTTTAATACCAGACGAGTACAATACATAAACTGGATAGCCTACCTATTACAGTGTAGCAATACCACGTGACATTGACGTCATTTTCAGCATCATTTGCAAGACAAATATTGCTTGATCGGAAAAGAAAATAGCCGTAAATATTTTATTTCTTCTACTGGAAGTATTTCATTAAATTTGTTCAAGCAATCTTGTTATCTATTTTGCAATTGTTCAGATACGTTTAAACATTGAGAGAATATCATATCAATTAAAACAACTACAAATAATACTTGCTTACGCTATTGTCTAATGAATAGGAAATAAAGCTTAAAGACGTTTTCGGTAGTTTTCTGTGCGCATCGTTATGCGCTTCCAAGAAAGATAATCACGGATAATTACTCTTCAAATGAAGGTCAAGTTGAATAGTATTCGGATAAGTGTTTAAATTTCGGCTATAAGCAAATAATGAGTAAATAATACAGAATAGATATTTCTAAATGTTCAAAAGGATATCGGTTCAAAAGAATAAGAGGTCGTTTAGACAACATCACATAAAGGATTTCTCCAAGCATTAGTACGACAGCATTGATGATAATTCTGCGCGCGTTACCCCACCCACTTGTGGTATAGTGACGAAAGTGCGTCGCGACTTGATTACTGGCAGACAAAGAAGTTTAAAATGATATATTTTAAAAGTGTTGAATAAAAAAAACAAAATTAATATCTAAGAAATGTTCCGAATTTCATTATTTTCTTTGTAAATTTCTGAATACTTGCTTGCTGTTCGTGTATGTTAGTCGAGTAAAAAAATAATATGGCCCTAGATATGTTTTAAAAAGATATTCAGTATCATTTACTTAATATAACATCAAAAGAAAAAGAAATTTTTATTACAACATGTTTTTGTTGTATATTTGACAATACATTTAGTACAACACTGATATTTCTTAAGAAAGCGTGGTAATTTTGACAGTTGGCATATGCGGTAACCATGGAAACTGCCCGTTTACAAAAAAACACGTCTATATATATTTTATTTCTATTTTTGAATCCACCATCAAATGTTACTTGATATATTAATAATGTAGAAAATTCTATGAAAGAAATTTCTTGATAGCTTTAATTATTTTACAGAATTCATGTTTATTTTTCTCATTTTTTGTTTAGTTAAAAAGCATGAAAACTTATTTTTTAAAGAAATATGTTCCAATTATCGTTTGTTTTATACATAACCCTAAGATAAAGCAAGCTTTGTATAAAATTATGTCTATTGTGAGTGTAATAAGCTATTTTATACATTATTATAACACAGTTTGGCTATTTTGACACTTTTGAGATATACGGTTACCATGGAAACTGCCATTTTTCAAAAAATCCAACACGCCAACATTTATTTTTCTTCTTCTTTTTGAATTTGTCATTTAAGTTTACACAACATACAAAAAATTTGAAAATCCTATGAAACACTTTTTTCAATATCTCTAATTATTCTCATAATTCATGTTTATTTTTCTCATTTTTTGTTCAGTTGAGGAACATGGAAAACTCATTTTTTAAAGAAATATGTTCAGATTATCATTTGTTTCATACAGAATCTTTAGATAAGATTATCTTTGCATAAAACAATGCTCGTTGTGTGTTTTAAACTATCTTATACATTTTTCTATTTGTTATAACACAGTTAGGCTATTTTGACAGTTTTTAGATATACGGTTACCATGGAAACTGCCATTTTACAAGAAATCCAACACGTCAACATATATTTTTCTTTTTATTTTTAAATTCGTCATAAAATGTTACTCATCATACAAGAAAATTAGAAAATTCTATGAAAGGATTAATTTTTCATAAAACTGTAGAAAATGTCTTTAATATAAACACTATACTTGTATTCCTAATTTACATTATTCTACAAAAGATATAGAAAAAAACATCTTTCATGTTAGAGCAGCTTAGACAAAACTTTCTTTAACTGGCTTCAGTTAATTCATAGGCTTAATATAAATTTTCGCCGAATTAATATATCATGTTTGAGTGTCAGATTGTAAAATTGGCCTGGTTTAACTTTTACAATGAGCAAAACAAGAAGTTTAAATTAAATCATAAAGTTTAATTGATGGCTTGTTCACTGTGGTATAAAGTCTTAAGACGATAGAGGGCTTAACTTATCAAAATGCTCTTAATTGATCTTGGTAGTCGTATGTTTGTAGTTTTGTTTAATAAGTAAACAAATAAATATATTTATATTGTCTTTAATAGTTGTAACATTCGCGTTGGGATTAGGACGTTCTTAGAAAAGCGATAGAAAATAGACACACTTCATGTGGTATTTTTCACTGTACACCGATAAATCATTTAACAAGTCTTAAATTTACATCATGAATATCCGGATGTTAATGATAAGTGAGCAGGCAAAGAACAGAAATTGTAGACATACCGCCATAATTGTGTTTAACTTGATATTATACTATGAATTAATAAGTTAAACCAGTAATCCACAATGCATATTTATCATTTATTAACCATTTTCTAGCTTATCAGTACAACTTTTTAATATGAATTAAACTCGACATTTGACATCAATAACAACACGAAGTTCGTTTTTTTAATGTATATCTAGTTATTTAAAATCGATTACATGAATAAGAAAATAAAGCAATTTTGTGCACACGGGGGAGAATCACGCCGTTCGTTACCCAAACAAACAAGATGGCGGATGCAACCAAAAAGTATGTTTTTCTCTTTTTTCTCTGAAATTCGTGATGTTCTAATGTAAAAGTACATATAACAACCTTCTCCACAATTTTCCTGGCACACAGGATTTTATTTCATGATGTTTCGTTCCGTACTTTATCTGAAATGCGCGTTACCAGATTCGAAGCGAGAGAATTTTCCACCGACTTGATCGTGGTAACGTACGGCTTTTTCTTTAAAATTCACTGTTTCGTTTACATGTATGTAAAATTAACTGAAACCACTGACTTTAAAAA